GAGAAAAAGGTACCAGAAGTTGTGGGCGGGACAGGATACAACAATTCTAGAAACAGATGCATGGTTAAGGAAATGGAAACGTAAAAGTAAATTAACAGAAAATTAAGGGGAAAGGAAAAATAAAATATTTTCAACAAGACAAAACAAATGACTTAAAAAACAATAGTAGTCAGATTTAAGTTAAAGTATAGGAATAGTAAAAGAATAAATTACATCTGTGGGAATGGGTGAAGGGATGAAAGCTAGACATTTAAGTCTAGTGGGTGAACATTAAAAGTAAAATAGGACCCTGACCAGTGTGGCTCAGCAGGGTGGTGTCATCCTGCAAAGCAAAAGGTCTCTGGCTCGATTCCCAGCCAGGGTGCACACCTACCTGGGGTGTGGGTTTGGTCCCCCATCCCAATTGGGGGCGTGTAAGAGAGGCAACTGATCGAAGTTGCCTCTCTCTTTCTCCCTCCCTTCCCCTCTCTCTAAAAATAAACTAAACAAATCAAATTAGGAAATGGGATCAAAAATTAAGAATTGTATTTTGTCCATTAAATCATAAAATAAGAATTTAACAAAGAGAAGACCAGAGAAGACAAGGTAGAAGCAGGAGACCTAAAGGCTGAAGACTGTAATCTAGTGTGGGAATGGGAAAGCAAATAACCAGAACTCTCCTGCCAGTGGAGATATCTAAGTCCAGGGTAGCTGGTTAGGCTTATTTTTATTTTTACAACTTTTGTAGGAAACAGCCGATAGAACCATTGCCCAAGTTATTTGCCCATGAAACAGGTCTTTGGCACAAGGTTGTTCTTTGTATCTGTTCTTGTTCAGCCTCCCTCCACCAGCGTCCCTCTCTCTCTCCAGCCCCATCGGGCGCTGTGCCCACGATGCACAGGCGTGCTGGGTGAGGCGCTGGACCTCACACTACACGGTAACAGCCAGTGACTGACCCAGCACAGCGAAGGCTATGGCGGCTGAGATCTCAGGGTGCCTTGGACATGAACACAGCACCCAGCTCAGTCTCAGGAGGCCGGGAAGGTGTTGGTAAAGATACATTAGCAGAATTCCTGAAGTGTAGGAGGCGGTTGGTCAAGGAGCCATGGGATTGGCATTTCAGGCAGAGACAGTAAGACACATGGGCCCCGAGAGCGGGAGACCATGGGGTCCAGCCTGGAGAGGCCAGTGGCTTTCCATCCCCACTGTGACTCCCGGGGCGTGGAAGGGAAGGTCACCCACACGACCTACCAAGTCACCACTACCTATAAGTCACTCACGCCAAAGTGGAGAGTTTCAGGCTGTGGGGCTGGGGAAGAGAGGCTTGATCTCTTTCCTTATTCGCTCTCAGAACCCTTTAAATGGTTACATCTCCTTTGTACCAGCGCAGTCTTCCTCTTTTCCCATTACAGTCGGGGTCTTCTGCTCAGAACCTGACGGTCTCACATTTGTCCAGTGTGGTGCCTTCGGTTACGTTTTCATGAGAGTTTAAGGGAAGGCACTAACCTCCATCCTTGCGCCGTGGAGCCTCTTCTGCGGGAGCCACTCCCCGCTCTCCCCGTGCGTGTCTGGACCGAGCCGGTGCTTGCTCCGCTCCTTCCCTGTCAGTGCTCCACACTGCTTCACGGGTGTTTATTTTCCGTGCCAGGCCTGCCTCCCCTGGGCACCGTCCTTCAAGGTCCCACACCGAGCGTTGGGCTCCATCGTGCTCAGTGTGTGGCCGGACCTCCGAGTTAATGTTGGCTGAGGTGAGGGTCCCTCCACCGTTCCTGTCGAGCATGGTTCCCTGTCGGTCTAGGAGTAAACAGAAGTCTCTGCACCGCATCTGGACTCAGTGGGAGAGGCCATACAGGGGGAAAAAAAGGAAGTTAAATTTTTCTGTAATGCAGTGATTTTCAGCTTTGTTGGGGTATAACTGACAAAATTGTAAAGTATTAGACTATAGTATCTTATGCCATCTGCAATTCCACATTCTCATGATAACTTCCAGTTAGTTTTCCCTGACCCCACAACTAATAAATGATAAGAAGTCAGAGGTGGCGTCCAGTTCTGAATCTGGCAGGAGACACGGAACAGAGCAGAAGTGAGTGGCCGTGACTTTGAGCAGCACTGCCGTCAACGAGTGCTGTGGTCCACAGTCGTGTGGACTCCGCACACCTCCACGTGGTGCGTTGCCTCGGGCGGAGTAAGTGGCGCCTAGCGGTGATGGGTGCCACCCAGTCACAGAGCCATCAACCCTGGGCGGGGGGAGGGGGGGGTCTTTTGTTTGTGTTTTTTTTAAGCTGTTAATGTTATTTTTATTGTTCCAGTTATTTTTTAATTACAGGAAGGAATACATAGGTAAAATAAGCATACTGCAGTATTGATTATGAAAACCCCTTCTTTCCTTTTTTTTTTTCCTTTTTAAAAACTTTTATTATTGAGACTGTTACAAAGGTCCCTGTTCCCCGCCTCCTAAGCCCCCCTCCACCCAGCCCCCACCCCTCACTTTCTCTTTCTGAATAATGAAAAATGCTTCTTTGACCAGGAAATCGAACCTCTTATTGTTGCTTGTTGTTGCATATTCTGTCAGTGCTGACAAGGGTTTTCAGAGACCGTGGACAGCTGGCAGATGGGGGCACAGGGATGTTCTTGCCCATTCCGTCTGTTGTGGGGATCGGTTTGGAGCGGCTCACAGGCCTGTTCCTGGTGAATGGGGACCCCTTTCAGAGGCAGGCTGTGCTCTGCGTTCGCTCCCCTGGCCGCGGCTGTGAGTCTTAGGCGATGCTGCTGTTCCCGAGCGTCCGTCCTTCTGAGCGGACAGTGGCACTATCGGCGCGGCAGGGAGAGAGGGTGGAACAGAGCTGTGGGGAGCAGGCACGCGGAGCGCAGCTCGGCCGGCTCCAGGTGGGATCCGAGAGCCTAGCCATGGACCCCGGGGCCCCGGGCTGGACCTCGAGGACAAGGTTGGGTAACACCTGTTGAGCTAGAAGAAGGGGGTCCCGTTGGAGGCCCCAAGAGGAGAGGAACCGTCACAGACTTGTTCACACCCACGTGACTCTTGGGAGGTGACAGATTTATCTCAGCCTTTGTGAGTAAGTAAAAACCAAAGAGGACAGAGCTCAGACCCCGGGCCTGGCCGGGCCCTGGTGTGTGGTTCCCCTTCGCCACACTGAGCTCGCAGGAAGCTGCAGTGACAGCAGGATAGCCTCGGGAACACATGCGTTTCACAGGAGACAAGGGCGCGGGTCTCCTGAGGTAGTCTCGGTTCTGCCTTTTCTTCCGGGTTTGTGCCGCCATATGTTCTGAAAAAGTGCAAATGAAACCAGGTCTTTGTTCCTATTTGGACATGACATTGGCAGTTTTCCCATGACAGTGGGGTTGCCCCAACACGTCACTTAAATACTGCTATTTTAAACAGCACAATACTCAGTAAAACAGACTGCTGTCGCTGAGAGGGACCAGTCTGCTTCACAGGGTCACAGTGCTGTGTCTTTCGGTGGGCGACTGCCAAGCTTTAATCTGATGGGACAGGATGGAGGTTTCTCAGAGCAGACTGTGGGGGGGGGGGGGGGTGAGTGGTGGCTGTAAGCGGCAACGGCCACTGAAACTGTCCGTTGCCCCCACACTGTGTCTTCAGGGGCCTCTGCCACCCCTCCCCCTGACGACAAGCCAGTTTGGAAAGGACCGTCAGTGGGATGATAGGTGTGATATGTCTCCGTGGTTGGTGGCGTCTGCATGTTTTAGTGTACGTAATGCTAACATTGTGGAAAGCAGGTATTTTTTCCACTGGTATTATCTGTTTTTACACTTTTTAATTAATACTTACTTAATACTTTTATTACTTATTTGCTCCCAGCGTTGGCCTTCTGTGCCGGGTTCCTTCCCTCTGAGGCCTGCCCAGTGCTGGGGGCGAGGCGTCCAGCCAGCATGGCCACAGTCTCCCAGCGCTCCCCCGTCCGGGCCGCCCCTGCCCTCTTACTGTAAACGCAAGCCTGAGGAACAGGAAGGAGCAGCAGGGCAGTGTCTTAAGCTTTGCAGAGGGTGTTGGAGCTCTCAGGAGAGTGTTTGCAGGATCAGACACTGAGGAGCCTGCCCAGCCACGTCAGACGGACTCGGGTGTCTGATACAGGCTGGCCCCCAGCTCCAGGTGGCGGCCACGTGATTGGTGGCCTTGGTGTCTTGTTAGACAGGCGGAAGCAGTAAGTTAATGTTTCCTAACATGGAATTGCAGAGTAATTTTTTTAACAATAAGTATAGATTGAGCTCGGGCTGGGAACCAAAGTGTCCCAGGTTCGATTCCCAGCCAGGGTACATGCCTGGGTTGCAGGCCATGACCCCCAGCAACAGCACATTGATGTCTCTCTCTCTCTCTCTCTCTCTCTCTCTCTCTCTCTCTCTCTCCCCCCCCCCTCTCTCTCCCTCCCTTCCCTAAATAAATAAATAAATAAATAAATAAATAAATAAATAAAATCTTTTAAAAAAACAGTAAGTATAAATTAGAGGAATAGTCTATTTATCCTCATTGTTATTTTAGCTATTTAAACTTCCAAACACAAGCCAAAAGTGAACTTTTCTGATTTCCCTTAGAAATTTGCTAAGAAATACAGTATGTTCAAGCCTGCTTAAATTTCAGCAGGACCACTTGGTAACCGAACCGAAGGTTGGTTTGACTTCCTAATTTACCCCAAGAAAAGTCCATCTCCTCCAGAGTGGTGGGGGGTTGGGCAGGAGAGAAGAGCCATCAGGGGTACATCAGGGGTTTCTGCATTTGCCCTTCCTTCCTCCTCTGCTCGACAGTCCACAGTGGGTATCGTAGTCTTCGTTTTTGACAGTCTGTCAACAGAATTCTTCTGTTTTAACTTGCGTTGCAGGAGCATCTGTCCAGCAGACAAGAATTCAGACTCACCGTGACTTCCTTTGAGGGCATCTTCAAAGCTCTGCTGGGGGCAGGCTGCTTGACTGGTTTACAGAAAGACGTAATTGGCTTTATTTATCTTCACTTGAGAAAATGGTTTGTTTGTTTTCCCTTTTCCCTTTAGTTGCTGATCATCTGGGCTGTGATCCTCAAACCCGGTTCTTTGTCCCTCCGAATATCAAACAGTGGATTGCCTTGCTGCAGAGGGGAAATTGCACTTTTAAAGAGAAGATATCTCGGGCTGCTTTCCACAATGCCGCTGCTGTGGTCATCTACAATAACAAGTCCAAAGAGGAGCCGGTCACCATGACTCACCCAGGTAAACAGGCACGGGCTGTAGGTTCCTTTCTCCTGCTAGAAATCACTGCCTTGCAGGCAGGCTTCCCCTCTGCTGAAGCCACATTGTTTTCCACGCACTTCTGTGACTGGGTCTCTTGGTATCGCCACTGGGTTGTCTTTTCCCCTTACTTGAATTCTTTTTCTTTAATAACCATAAGAGCCTATAAAACTTGTGCTTGTTAAGAAACAGGCTATGATTGAGTTCGTAGTCACTTATAGTCCTTTGTTTCACTTGATAATTTTGGAAAATAATGCATTACATGTGGAATCATTCATCCAGATATGCCATGGATCCTCAAGGCTTAACTGTTGACAAGGTTCTTTTGTCAGAATCCATGCTGAAATTGACTTAGTTATTAACAGTAGAAACAATATTAATTTCTTGAAGAAACATTTAGGATATTTCTAATGTAACTGTTTCAATAACAATAATTCAATTTGTTGAGCACCTACTATATATATGCCAGGCACTATGATACCAGCTTTTTCTGGTTTTTGTTTTTCAGTAGACTTTATTTTTAGAGTAATTTTAGCAATAGGAAATGGTGCTATGTTATTAGGTACATAAAAAAATTAGAATAATGTGGTAAAGTAAATTGGCACAATACTTTAGAGAGAAATTTTACACTACCTGACGCTGTTAACGACCTCATACATTGTAGTTTAGTAATTTCATGCTGAGACACATACTCTAGAATACCTTTCAAACTTTAGCGTGCACGCAGATCACCTGGGAATCTCACTACAATGCAAATTCTGGTTCAGTAGGTTTGGGCTACAGCGTGAGGTTCTGTATTTTTTTGTAAGTTTCCAGGTGGTGCTAACGGCTGCTACTCCAACCCCCAGAGCTTGCTTTGAGAGACAAGGAAGACACACAGGAAGCACAGGTCTTAATCGCAGGTCCTGTGTGTCCCCCCCCCCCCGTCCCCCCCGTACCCTAACCCTAACCCTAACCGTGAGTCTCTGCTCTGCGGGACAACCTCGGAAGGCCTTTGTGTGCTGAGAGTCTCTTGCTCTCCTGGACCGTCTGCATCACAGCTGCAAGTTGCCCTTTCAACACTGGGATGCTGTGCGCCTGAGGGTCAGGGACCCTTGCATCAGAGCCACAGCCCCTCCCACCCCGCCCCTTGGGGGGTGGACCCAGAGATCCAGGTTAGCTCTCCCTTGCTCACCTGTCACTTCTGTCCCCCCTTCACCTGAGGAGAGAGGCCTCTGTGCTGTGCATTCTCACGTGAGCTCATGTGAATGGGGAAGAGCTGAGAAGAACAGCCCCTGGCTCGCACCCTGGTGAGCCTGCCCCCCACGGCCCTCACACAGCGAGCTGTGGTGGGGAGGTCAGCTTGCTCAGGCCGGTGGGCGCCCTGATGCAAGGCAGAGGTGTGTGTCTGTTTTCAGATTACTCATAGATGACTCATCCCTTCTCCACTGGCAAATGTGTTCAGGCATTTACTCGTGTAGACTCACGGACATTCGTTCGACACTTTGTGTCAGAATGCGGTGCTGCTGTGTGTTATCACTCAGATTGTTCCACTCTGGCCACTGGGGACTCTTTCCATTGGTGGCTCTGCCCTTTGCTCACAATTCCTAGGGTGTCGGCGGGCCACCTTTTGAGCACGCCTGTACTTTCTGGTGCCATTTGGTGCTCCAAGCTCACCGTGTTTGTAGGTGCTGCCCCAGCGCTGGGGTTAGCCCTCCCTCCAAGGGACCTCGGCTTCCATTCATGAAGAGTGAGTGTTACTAGAATCAGGATGTGGGCATTGGGAGTCTTTTACTGATTCAGGCTTTGTTTCTTCTGGGCCCTCTGGGCTGATGGAGCGAGGAAGTGCCTGTGTGTATGCTGGCCCCTGGGTGTGCCCCTGCCTGTGACTATTCCTTCTGTCACCATCTCTGTCTGGGCTAAGCTAAGAGTGAGCTCGCTGCAGGGATCACGTAGCCACTTCCTTCGGCGTGTCTGTAAGCTCCCACTCCAGCGGTGAGAAGCCAGCCCCCGCCATCCAGGTTCTGAGTTGTTCGGTTCACCAAGCTCTCAGCCTCAGAACCTGCAGCGCAACGACAGGTTGGATGGCTGTCTGAGCGCTGGCGTCAGTGCGAAAGTGAACGTTGGCGGCTTTCCTCCCTGTGTGGGTCTTCTCCCTTTGGAATGCCCGACTCTGTACTGAGCCTTCTCTCCCCACCCGTTTAAAACTCTTTCATCAGACACTCATAAGGAAACCTAAACGTATCTTAACTTGAAAATGACACAGAACAAGGTCGGTCTTGGAACCCATGTAATGACAAGAAGGATTTCATTAAGTCCAGCTGCAGGTGGGTTCTGAGATCTGTGAGCAGCATTCATGGAGCCTGGGCCTCTGTAGCGGCTCAGGCGGAGCCCCGGTCCCACCGCAGGTGCTGCTGGCATTGGCCGCAGCTGCTCCAGGTGTGCTGGAGGCTTAGGCTGTGACCCCGTGAGCAGGACAGTTGGCTGTGGGGGCCGGTAGTCTCTCAGAAGCATGGGGTTCAGTTTGCCACTTTCGTTTAAGAAAAACATTGAAGAACTGACATCCAGAAAAGAAGAGGATTGAAAATCTGCCAACAGTATTTTATCAAACACAGTTTGGCATTGGAGCATCAAATGAATATGATAGTAATTATTTCAGCCCATTAAGTAAAACAGGAACCATGAGCTCTTACGGACCAACATGGTAAGAGTGGCCTGAAGTCTGACACATCTGGCCTGAAAGCCCCTCCCACAGACTGCTTGACGACTGCAAAGGGGGCAGAAGAGGGGGTTCCCAGGGGGAGACACCTGAAGGACCCACGTTTGCCGAACCACCCAAGTGAATTTCAGGGCCAGCTCCTAGATTTCTTTTTCTTGACAGGTGTGACTCAGCTAGTTGGAGCATCGTCCCATAACTGAAAGGTTGCAGGTTCGATTCCTGGTCGGGGCTTATTCCTGGGTTGTGGGTTCGATTTGCAGTCCAGGTATCTATAGGAAGCAACCAAGTGATGCTTCTTTCTCTCTCTTCCTGTCTCCCTTCCCCTCTCTCTAAAAACAATTAAAAAATGTTGAGTGAGGATTTAAAAAAAGTGAACTTCAGCAAGAATGGGATATATAAAAATGTGCCCTCCACTCCACACTACACACAGGAAAGACCACAGCATCACCTCTGCGTTCCTGTGCCAGAGGTGCAGGGCCTAATCTGGTCACAAGGAACACCAGGTAAATCCAAACATGAGGACAGTCTGCATAACAATTGGGCTATAATCTTCAAACAGTCAAGGTTGTGAGCACCCAGGAAGGTCTGTGAGGCTGTGGCAGGTAGACACATTAACGAGAGTTGGTGGCTCGGTGCACTGCACGGGGGCACCGCTGGCGGGTGGGCGGCACTCAAGTGGGTGGTCTCTCAGATTAGCCAGCAGGGACATATTGGTGGTAATTTCGTGATGGTCATGCTTCTGTTTACAAATGACTTTTGTTTGTGGAGTGCACAGTGAATACTTCAGGGTGATGGGGCATCATGCCAGTAACTTTTCAGTGGTTTTAGGAAAAGAGATTTTGTTTCCAACTTTTCTGTAAGTATTAGAGTCTTTAACAAGGTTCTTAAAAAAGGAATAATGTGGGATGCTAGGAATAGCTATTACAGAGAAAAGACAGGCGAGTTCCGGGAAGGTGTTTGGCATCTGAAGGACTGTGTGGAGGGGGGTTTTCATTGGGCCTGATAGGCGCAGCTTGAAGTTGGTATGTTTCTTACACTTAGTGGTGTTTTACAGTTTATTGAGAGAGTCTTGTCCCTTCATTATACAGTATGATGTGACAGTGGATGGTATGTCACACCTTGTAAAATACAATTTTTTAAAATTCCGTAGTGCTTCTTCAGAGAACCAAGAGCCGTGAGTGGGCATTTAGGAATCAAGACTTTGGTTATAGGACAGCCCTTCCTCACACTCAGAACCACCCGTGTGCGGAACCAGCCACCCACCCGAGCCAGCAGTGTATGGGGCTCCCATGCTGGGGCAGAGGTGCCCCTGCAACTCCGCTGCCTGGTGTGTCGCCCCCACCCCCGCCCCCCTTTCTGTCTCTCCTGGAGGAAGGAAGGGTCTTCTCTTCCGCCCAGGCCTCTGCTCCACCCTCTGGGTCTGCCCCAGAGGCCAGGGGCCACCTCACCCGGGTCGGGCACGTGACTGCAGACCCCGCTGCGGGCACAGGTCTTCCACAGGTCTTTGCAGGTGCTGGCCAGACGCCAGGGTGCTGTGCTTGGTTCCGTGCAGCCGCTTCAGGGTCCCACACCTTCCCCACGACTGGACTCCCCTTTCGTCCCCATGCCCCACACCTGTGTCCTCTGCGCAGCCCCTCAAGTCCCTGCCTGGCTCTTCCCCTCCTTCTGAGGCATTAAGCCTCAGCTCGCCCACGTGAAGTCCTGCCACTGTCTGCCTGTGTCAAGGCCATGGGGGAAGGGAGCAGCCTGCCTACCAGGTCCCTCCTTGGGTCCTTCCACCATCCCCCCCGCCCCGCCAGGAGCCTGGGCCCACGCTGTCCCTGGATGGCCATGGCTTTTGAGTCTCCACTCTGGTGTCCTGTCATCTGGCCTCTGCGTCCTGCCTTTCCCTCCCCGTCACTTGGCTTCGTGGAAGTGCCCAGCTCCTTGAATGCCGTCTCCGTGACCCTCTGGACTGTGCTGTCCCGCTCTCCAGGAACCATGTGAACCAAGCCAGGGGGTCCCCACACCCGCAGCCTCATCTGCTCAGTAAGGGCTGTCAGCCATTGCCTGGCTGCCCATGACCTCGGGCTCATTTGGCTCCCAAATGCCTTCTCTGCCAGGGTCCAGCGTTTGTATTTTCTTTAGCAGACAGAGGGGGCACACCAAAGGCTTTGACCAGAGAATAAGGAGTCTAGGTTTCAAGAAGTGTGGTATTGTAGGCACACGTTTAAGAAGGACTTAAGTCAAGTGGGTGGGAGTGAGTGAGCAGGAGGCCTCCGACCAGAGTGAGCAGGTTCGCAGA